CACAGGCCAAATCTTCATACACTGCAACTTACAGTGCAAATGTGGTAACACAGTTACCATGTGTCCATGGCCAGTAACCCTTCTGTCCATTTTTTGAAGCATTATTTTATTTTTATTCTATATTAATGTATTATTTATATTATTATTATTTTAAGGCATTATCTTGTAAACCTCACTCTAGCATTCAGTAGGATAGCACACATAGTCCCATCCTTTATACCAGGTGTCCCAAATACCTGGGGGATTAGGGGGACACTTAGCACATATATATAACACTGCTGCAATAGCTGGACTTCCCTATATTACAAGCAGGTGAAAACAGCAACTAGTTTAAGAGCAACAACAAAGCACATCTTCTTAGCACTATAGAAATTACAAAACACTAATGAATGTGTTGAATGCATCCCTTAATTATATAAAACTCTGCAAAGAATAACATGATTTGAATTTATTATTCAAATGCTTTTAATTTATAACAGATTGCTACTTCAAATACAAGTATTAAATCTCTATTAGATTTGTTGAGGTAATGCACTAATATGCATGACTGAGATCTTAAATTCCTAAGCAGCAATAGTGTTGGCTAGATGCAATAAGGATTACCTTAATTAAAACACTATCCTCAGCATCTCAGAAGATTTAATCCAAATCTTTATATACGGCACATTCATTATCTATCTCCAGTTAATAAAAATATGACCTACTTTGGTTACATTTTAGAATTTAATCTTGATTACCATTTTGTTAATAGAAATAAGATACTAAAGACTTTAAAGACAAGCCAAAAGCAATTTTGCCAGCCTAATTAAAATACTATTTAATGGCCTCAGAAGGAGCTTTATATTTATTCATAACTGTGGATGTAGACTTTTTAGAAATGTTTTTAAAATATCAAATTAGACAACAGACTCCTAAAAATATACCTAAGAACAACAAGTGAGATTTATAACCAACGAGCTTAAAGCAGAGCCTGAAGAGATTCAGAGAAGAGCTCCTAAACCCCACAGGGACACTTTGGAACACGCGAGCCGTTCTGATAAGCTCAACAAGACTCTGCACTTCTGTAGGAGGAGGCCCATACCATGTGTCTTTGCAGAAGCAAGGCTTAAATTAATCATAACACTTCAAATGTAGCGTCAAGTTACTGCTAAGTAGTAGTTTCCAAGGAGACATGATGCTTATCAAAATACTCCAAAGCACTGCAGGCTGCCAGATCTAAGACAGTATCTGAATGGTTTAGTGAACTTCTTAGCACAATGCAGCTTATTCTGCTTTAAACCAGGGACACAGCAGGCTCAGCAAGAAGGCAGTTTTTTGAGGCAAGGGGAGCACACATCCACACTATAAACCTTCTCCTGTACATACTACTGCCATATTAAACAGGATAAAACTAGTAAAGAGAGATCACAGGCAGCCAAAGCATGTGGTCAGAGCCCCCCACAGCACCACCACTTCCCCAGAGCCACCCATTCACCTCCTTGGATTTCTCAAGCTGAAATTGTCCTTTCACAGCGTCGCTCAGCAAAATGTAGCCTCCCTGTACATATCGTCTTTTCCATACAGAAAGGTTGGACAAAAGCATGCATCCTACAGAGAGCACATCCTTCAAACTCCCACAAAGGTGTCACCTACACTATCCTAAAACAAAATACTTACTTTTGAAGGTACGAATGTCAAGTGATGGCTGAATTCAAAGCCTTGTCCATCTATCACCCAACAAAAAATTCTAGCCTACAGAGTTCCGCTTGAGAAAATTAATTCAGATTGGACAGCTCTAGCTATTACTGGGTTTCATTTGTTGAAAGAGTTTGAGAGATGAAAGAATCTTGTTGCTTTCAAGAGACACAATGCTTATGGCTTTCTACTGAAAGTGATTATCAATTCACACATTGAAAATGAGAAAGCATTCTGGGTGAACAATGCTGCAAACCTCTCACCAGGGTTCTCACCACAACAGGCAATCCCCAGTTTAATTAAAGTCAGTACACACTGTTTTCTCTTGATCTCCCTCATGTAGAAGCCACCTGCTCCAACAAGGGATCCAAGCAGTCAGTGGCTACACTTGGAGTTTACACGGGTTGTGAGACCAAGAGACATGAGTGACACTGCTCAGAGGAGGCTGCAGGGAGACACAGAAGCCTTGCTGCAGCCTGTGGTCTCCACTCACGCTTTCTGCTCTAACACACTGTGTTCTGTCTGGCACTCTCTGATCCATTCCCTCACACTGGTTTTAGCATCAGTTTCTAGTCCAATGTCTTTTTCCTCCTCCCTCATTTAGTATTCTGACTCTATTTCTTCTCTATTTTGTAATTCTTTGCTGGCCCCTTATCAATAAAAAGTGTCTTCCCAACTCTCAAATACAGTTTCAGGAAAAACCAAAGGTAAATATGCACTTTCATAGAACCATAGAATATCCTGAGTTGGAAGGGATGCACAGGATCAAGTCCAACTCCTGGCCCAGCACAGCACCATCCCCAAGAGTGACACCATGTGTCTGAGAGCGTTGTCTAACAGCTTCTTAGCCTCTGCCAGGCTGGTGAAGTGACCACTGCCCTGGGGAGCCTGTTCCAGTGCCCAAACACCCTCTGGGTAAGGAACCTTTTCCTGATATCCAACCTAAACCTTCCCTGACACAACTGTGGGTCCTGTCACTGTCACCACAGAGAAGAGATCAATGTCTGCCTCTCCTCTTCCCCCCTGCAATGAGGTCTCACCTCAGTCGCTTCCAGGCTGAACGTCAATTTTGCTGCACTCAGTCTAACAGCAGCAGCTGTTGCCCAAAGCTATTTTGACTGCCACGTGTCCATGGCCAGCAGCATCCTGTCCTGTGTCTCTGTGGGTCCCCAGCTCCACAGCTGCCCAGGGCATCCACTGCCATGCACACCCATGGGGCTGTTCTCCACACCACCAAAGGCTGATGGCCGAATATGAGGAGTTAATTTTATAAAAGAGACAATTTTGTAAGCCTGAAAAAACTGATGACATTAGAAAGCTCATTGTAAATTTTACATAAAGAGGTCTTGTCTCTTTATCATGTACATAAATGTCACCCACTGCAAGACTGTTGTCACAAATGTCTCCCATGAGTGCCAGATCTGTCTGTACACGACATATAAGATGCTTGCTCTTCTAGTATCTGCACTTTTCAGCAATTATTAATTCCTTAAACATTTAAAACAGACCTTTTCAATTGTGCTTTCACCTATTGAGGTCAATGAAGCAATCTCAGCTTGTGTGGCTCATAGTCCCCCTTTTAACATTCATTTTCAAAGCCATATAAAACACCCAGACAAACCAAGAGTCAAAAGCAGATTCCTGAGGCTAAGATCTGTTTTTCCCCAAAAACTCTTCCATATGTTAATATAGAACCCTTTTACCAGGCTTCAGGCATGAGACAAGGGATTCTAAAATATTCCTTATCTCAGGGAAAGCACAATAGTCAGGATTTTTCCCCTTTCAACTCTCAGCTATTCCTCTCCATGAGACCATAGGCTGCAAAGATGATAAGGAGAGTATTCTAGCAGATCTATCCCTCTCTTCCTCTATTATTAAGAAAGCAAAAAAAATAAAAAACTCATTACTACCAAAAATGGAGGTAGGCATTTTGTGAGATAAGCCACTCCTCCACATCATGTATTCCACCAAAGGGATTCATACTGGGCTCAGTATCTTCTAATGGTTTCATCAGTTAACATTAAATTGGTTTCAGAAAAGAAAAAAGAATTTTCCTTGCACTGCACTAAATAATACGCCTTTATAGAGACTGCATAAACTACATTTCTGAAGAGGAACAACAATTATTGTTCCATTTCTGTAAGTGACAGATTGACAGTTACATCCCATGCTGTGAGTAGTATGCTGTCTAGTTGACTTTCACCATTCAGTTATTTTCTTACTGCTTACAAATGGAAAGACATTTCATGGTAAAAAGACAAAAGGATGGTGTTTTGTAGCACAAGGCTCTAGAATTAAGGTCTTCTCATCCTCAAGACAACAAGACAGTCCCTTGTGTCAGGGTTAGAAATACCTTTATACACAAAACCACTCATGTAACTTGGACAGTTGATGGGGCATGGCACATAATGTAAGTGGGGTGACAGTCAGGTGTCCCCAGGCACTGTCAGTACCAGCTCTCACGCAGCCCAAAACCAGCTCTGATACCCACCTAACCCCTTGTGCCTGTCACAAGGTGGCCAGGAACAACCACGGCTGGGAACAGACTCTGCTCCTTTCACCTGGACAGAAAGGACATCACTTTCTTGTTTCTTGCAGCTCCAGCTGCCAGAGCCACTTCCTCAGTTCTGGGGCCAGCCAGATTGACATCTTGCCCATCTGGTGTCCCTTCAGCCAGCAGCTGCACCAACACACACTGCCGGAGAAAGCCCGGGAGAACACTGCTCGCAGCATGTGCCGGCTCCTGGAACAAGCAAACCTTTGCCCTCCTCTCTAGGTCATCACTGGCAAATGGAGACACTGAGTAACACCCAGCCTGTCCTGACCACAAGCACCCTCCATGGCAAGTATTGGCTTTACCATGCCAGCTACAGCTTTCCAGGAAAATGACACTTCATCACTAAAAACCTTAGGATGCTGCCATCACAAGTCAATCACTACACCTTTAATTATCATTAATAATTAAACTATAATTGATAATCACTAGCCCTTTAATTACCCTCCTGCCTACATTCACTACACAAGAGGTTGTGAAACCAAGCGGACCAAAGAGCAACGTTAACCACTGCACATTTCTGATTTTTTACCATATTCTGCAATGATCCTCCAGAATTGCCAAAGCTTCCTGTTCTCTGAAGAACTTGAGTCTTTGGTTTACCAGTGCAACATCCACCCTTCTTACTTTGTATCCTATTGTTAAAAAGCTTCCCTGTCCGACCATCCAGGAGCCAGTCCAGCAGTCCCTCTCGCACCACCCTCAGACACACCAGGCTTCCCAGACCTCCTGTTCCCGAGAAACATTTAATCATCGTGCAACAACTAAGTACCAAAGTAACAGCTGGAGCTGGTGCCTCCCAAGAGGGACCCCGAAGAAAGGAGCGCCAGGTGTTTTATCCCCTCACAGGCCGAGGGCGGGAAGGCCTGTGGGCCGTGGGCTCCTGCCGTGTCCCCCAGCGTCCAGCCCTGGCTGTGCCACAGGTCAAGGGCCCTTTGTGCTGCCAAGTGCCGGCAGTCCAGGCCCTTTTCCTGGGGCTTGGGCTCACCCAGAGCTCCCTGCACTCAATGAATTCCTCAGCAAACCTTTGGAGCAACTCACATCATGCTGGACCTTGAGTGGTGACCTCAGGTTTACTGATGGTTATTTGTTCTTGCTCAAATGTTTCAGCACATTCCAGCATCCCTTCTGGCTTTAACAGGAAAAAAAAAACTAAACCAAGCCAAAAAGCAGCCCTTACCTGTGCAGACAATAATCCCTGAAATACATGTGCACGATCCAAGAGCCATCACTTCAGATTGCCACAAGCTATATTTTACCATGAAAGTAATCTTTTCCCAAATTGTTCTGGGGTTTGCTTGTGGTTTGGTTTTGAAACTTATGAATGAGGCCTACAGATTTGTAAAGTTCCGTCACCCCTTCGTGGTATTCCAGAAGTATGTCCCTTTTCTTTCTGCTATCGGAAAGTTGGCATAAATGGAAACTCTTGCTGCTGGCTAAGAAAAAAAAAAATTGAATTCTTATTACTATTCAGAAAATTCTGACCCACCCCTGGCTTACTGCTAATCCCAAGGGTCCCTACAAAATACTGGATAACAGGAGTTACATTCACAACTTTCTGCTGTAGTTTATTCCACAGCAGCTGAAATTTTCTAGTGCTTGTTGCAGTGCCTTAATGATTTAATGAGACATTTTTAGGGACCTGTAACCCATTCCTACCTCAGATCCATAAGAAACCTAACATTTAGAATTTCTCTTAGAACTCTCTCACATTCTACCTAAAGTAGGAAAACTTTTGCTGATAAACAATTATCCACACTCATTTGTTTCAACTTAGCAATGAATTTCTGGAAAAGAATCCATAATTACATAAGCCAGAATCAATGTTTTTTTCCCTTTTTGTCACAGCTATTGCTAACAACCATGCAAAAAAAATCCCAGGGATTAGCTTTTCATTGTCCCAGCTGCTAAAAACTACCCAGTTTTCACAAACCAGTGTTCTCCAGTACTGAACAGTTTTCACCCTCTACAATCACCACCTCTCTTTGGGTATGATTACAGAATTTCAATTTTGTTACCTTTTCTAATTGATTTGATCAGTTAAATAAGAGCCAGTCCCAGAGCTCCTGTGGACTACTGACAGTGCTACACAGCGAGTAGCCCAGCTTTCATGACTGTTGGAAAGCTGAAACCCTAAGAAATATCAGCATGCTGCCTGTGCTTCCAAGCTTTGCCTTTAGCTGTCCCCAATCTTCCAGCAAAAAAAAAAAAACCTTTAGTGCCAGCAATCAGGCATTACTGAGTAGAAATACCCGTTCTTCTCTGCTAAGCACTAACATCAGCTTCTGCCAGAACTCAGAGAGATGGTAACTCTGGACCAGTGGGGGGACATCTTTATTCCCACTCTGCTTTATGACTCTTCTTCTTGTGACAGATCTTTTTTTTTCTCAGCTCCAATATGTAAATGAACAGCTTCTCCTGAGATTTTCTCTCTGTTCCATTATTTGTTTTAAAAAGCATTCCCCTGCTTCAAAATTAGTGTGAAGGAAACCTGTAACATCTTTTAGTATCGTAAGAACAGAATTCATAGCAAGCAATTGCCATCTTCCTTCCTGTAGCTGCTTTCAAACTAATTAAAAAATTAAAGGGGGGGGAATAAAGGAATCTGGTGCAATGCTGGCAGAGAAGACACACATACTGAGCCAAGTACTGTACAGGCCAGAAACTCTGATTGGCACCCTCACAACCCAGCTGAGTTTACAGCATTTGGCTCCTTGTCAATGTAAGGGTAACCCTGAAGTTCTCCTTTGCTACATCAGGACCTCAGAAACACGACTTCTGGATCTCTTGTAGCCATTCCAGTGGAGCATTTTCCTTCCCTCCCATGTTTGCCCTTACTAGATGTGCCTTGTCTAATTCATACTTAAAAGTTGTTTCTCAATTCCATAGCAAATCCTTGATCCAGAATAGGTTTGCAATACTTAAATCTTTTCAAGCCACTGACCACCAACATCACCCAAAAATCTTCTTAATTCACGTGGAACTGAAATACATCATGTTCCCAAGACACTAGACACTATTTGAGCAAGAACCATCTAAAATCTCCATACCAGTTGTCTATAGTATCAATACAGAAAGAGTCTTGTAAAAATTAAACACTTACCTTTATTCTCTGATTCCACAAATAAGCAGAATTGCTTTTCCCCAAAAGTGATTTGTCAACCCCCTTGGCCCTTTCTTTCCAGAATGCCCAAATTTTGTAGAAAATCTGCTCCTGGGAGCTGCTAGTCACCTCTTCCATGAATCTTCCCAACTGCTCGGAGCCACAACAGCCTGGTTTTCAAACCATGAGACTTTTGGAGTTTGTTGCCTCTACAAAGTCTCTGTCATTTCTGAGTCATTTGAGGACAATTTCTAAGAACTGCACTAATTTCTTCATGGACAGCCTACAGCTCTTGAGTGAGGTTTGTCAATTCTATACTTGTGAAAACTTCCCCTACTTGTTCTCAGTTCTACACGCCGTTTCTGCTGAAAAGAGAAAATTACAATGAAGCTGCATATTTATTTCAGAATTTCTACTTGAAGCTTGAATACAGTAGCAACTTCTTTGCCCATATTCCCAAACTTCTTTCCAGAAAGAAATCAACACAAAACCCCCTTCTTTTTGGCTTCTCTGAGAGCCACATCACCAGTGTTTTTATTGCCGTCTGTTCCTTTCTAACACCTCCACTTCCACCAAATAAAAATCAGCCTCTGGCACAGCTCAATCCATACAGCTCAGCTTCTTTCAGCATCTCACGTGGACAGTGTTCTCACAAGAAACTCAGTTATTTTACTTCAAAAAAGAACTGCTTTTTATTTTATCTTGACTGAAAGGTAGTCATAGCACCATCTCCCATAAAAATCTACCCTGCCTCTGTATACCAGCACAGATGAGTGACCAACAAAATCATTTTCCACTGGTCTTTTTTCTAAGTACAACTAAAAAATGGTTAAAGTACATTGAGTTTACCACCTTCAGTCGTGGCACTGATCAGTGGCACTGATTTTGCTGTGCAGTGTTCCCTGGGATTAGCACATGCGCAAACTTCAACTTATTACCCTCCATGGCACTAACATGAAAGGAGTACCAGAGGGCTTTCCTGATGTAAAGCTCAGATCAAGCAGCATCCAGCCATTCACCTTCTGCATTGGTGGAATTCACTCCATCGATTCTCTATGTGAAGTTCAAGAAATATCCAGCTAACCCCTTCAGTGGCAATTAGATGTTGCCAAAAGTGGTCCCACAAAGGCCTGGAGAGCACCCTGCCTCCACCCAGCTGGCACTGAGATCTAGTGTAACACTGGGTTGGCCTGTTAAGCTCAGCTCCAGAAAACTCTGATCATTGGACAGCCTCCCATAGCTGCAGGAATGTAGAAGTTGACAATAGGAAAAGCAGCACAAAGTAGAGTTACTGTTCTCATGCAGAGACCTTTTGTAACAAGCCTCACCCTAAAATAACACTTTGCAATCAATTATAATAGGTAATAATGTATACATAGAAAGAATCATAAATATTTAGAATGAGAAATACTAATAAAATATTGACCCAAATTCCATGATCAGCTATGTTCTAATATAGGATACAAACAGATTACAGGTATCACATTAAGAAACACAGAGAAAATTCAGAAGTGCAGCAGTTGCTACCTTATTTGCATAAAATTAAAGCATCTGAGTGCATAATTAACTCAAAACATTAAGGGATTCATCTTTAGAGTCCAACAAATTCCTTAAATTAGTGTATTTTAGGCAAATTTTTCCGTCACCCTGAAGACTTCACTGCAGGTTAATACTTTGAAGTTAGACAACACAAACTAATATAAAAGCCAATACATGAACACAGCACAGAACAATAGCTGCAAAATGATATCAGCATATTTCTAGTCCAAGTTCCATTTAGGTCTATATTTAAGAATATAAGCAATCATAACTCTTGCATAAGATAACAAAAAATTAAGTATACATACAAAATATTAAACCATAACAGAGTGCTGCCAGTGTTGCCTGTGTTATACACAATAAGACAGGAAGATAATGCTTAGTACTACTGTAAGATATATTAAAGTTGATTCCAGCAATTGCACTATTTCATAATATAAGCAATTTCAGTCTCAAACTCTGGCAGAAATACAGTGAGTGCAACATTTCATCATCTTATTTCAAATGTACTATAGCATGATTATGTTTGTATTTTCACAGATAAAGCTGAACAAATCAAGGGACAGTAGGCTTTAAATCATCCATATGTAGAGTTTATTAAACTATTTTTAAAAGAAACAACATAAACAAAATATTTTTTCCATTATGAAGTTTCTTAAGGCTCATTACAGTATCTCTGCATATAATTTATATTAATCTCAGTGGGTTTTGTGGGTCATTCACACCAGAAGTAAGAGACAAATGCTCTTATTACAGGAAAATGAGATGTAACCACAAAAATCACCCTTATTCACTAAATAATCAAATCTATTTTTAGTTGTTTTTAATTCATTGTATCAAGGATTTTTATATGAGCTCTTACAGTGTCCTGTCCTCGCTGTAACATAACAAATTCAGGAGGGGGGGGAGGAATTAATGAGACAGAGTAAGTATGAAAACCAGGCAAATTCCCAATACTGATGATGTCCCCATTTATTTCCCTCCTCAGGATCATTCTCGTTTCATCAACCTTTTTTTGTTTCCTTCATAATTAATAAGCCAAGGTATTCAAAAAGACCAATTAAACCTCAGTTTTGTCAAAAAAAAACTTGATTATTCAAGTTGTCAGCTCTATTGCTGAACTTTCAATTTAGCCTGATTTTTAAAGGAAACACAGGCTTTCATTTTAGCCTGATTTTTAAAGGAAACTATGGTTATATGTTTGTGCTGTCTATACAGAAGCATGCATATTTACCACAAAGTTTTCCTACAACTTCTGAATTTAAGTAATTTCAATTAAAATGAGAGGTTAAGAACCTGAAAGAAACCAAGTACCTACAACTTTGATGAAAAAGGTAACAGGTGAAAAAATGCTATTCACACTTTAAAGATCCACACAAGTAATAATCAATTTATGCACAATACCAGGTATAGGGGAACCCATCTGGGAGAACACCATCAGGAAAGCATCTCCTATAGGGAAGGCTTTGTGTGTTCTAAAGCTGAAAAACTAGCAAGGCCACAGGAAACAAGGCTTTACTGACCATGCTGTTAGAAGACACCATATCCACATGAAAACTAGCTTCTAATTTGTTAAATCACCCCTAATTTGTGGATTTCTTCTTCTTTGCAACTGAATTGTCAGATTCCAATAGTTACTTACACTTCACTGACTTTTTACACGCTGATGCATTTTTTCCCCTGCTTCTTGTTCTTCTGTATCTGTGCATTTTTTTCTTCTGTGTCTGCTTCAGCTCCCTTGGAAGGCAGAACATGCACCACAGGACCCATTCTGATTACTTTTGTGCCCCAGAGGCTCACAGGCTAGCTCATCTCTTTTTACAATGAATGCAAACAAACCATCAGTTAACAGACAGCTGCAACATCCTTTCAAAAGAACAGCCTTTAAAAATATTGTTTACTAGTCTGAACAGAAGATATCCTCCTACCCTTCAAAATAAGTTACTGATTGATAGGTAGGAAAAAGCATTTGCTTCAACAGAATAAGACTGACATCAGTTTTCATGTTCTCTGCTGTCTGAACTGTATCAAGCTGATCAGATTTGTAATTCTCCTGAAGCACATCAAGGCAAGCTATAAACTGTAGTCCTTTCCTACAGTGAATTTGTGGATTTTTCCAGTGTGAGCTAGTGAATAACAAATTCAACTATGGTAAAAATCCATTGTATGAACTGCATTTCCATCTCCTGAAACACAGCTTCTTACAACTTCCTTTGGCAGGAAGACGAACACAGATCAGGAGAGAGCTGCAACTTACCCAACTGTCATTTTCTTTTTAATTGGCTGTTGCAGAATGCCAGGTCCAGCCAAATAGCTGACCAAGAAGGCATCAGGCAAAAAAAATGAAAAAAATATATGGGTTTATATTCAAGTGCAACTGGCAGCCACTGACACCATAAATGGCTTTTCTAGTAGGAAGGAAAACTTCAGTAAGTCTGCATCTAATCTTGCAAGAAAGATGATCACAACAACTTAACACCGCAATTATTTTTGAAGTCACGTATATCCGGCCAAATCTTACAACATTTAGTTTTGCAGAGAGACTATGTTTTCTTATGCTATATGTGCATAGACCTTTTCTTTAGTTTGATACTTGTCACATCTGTCACACAGGATAAGGAGAGACCTTCTGCAGTTTTTCAAAAGTTTATACTTCATTGACATACTATATTTCCTGCCTCTCAGAAAGCCATTTCAAAATAATATAAAACAGATTCATAAAACCTGTTCAACCCAGTCTCTTTTCTGCTGAGCCTGAAGTACTATATGCAGTAAACATGAAAGACTCATTAAGAAAAACTTTGCTATTATCTCAGTAAATTAAGTAATCAGTAATTAGTAAATTAGTAAATCTCAGTAAATTAGTAAATCAGCACCAGTGTATAAAATAACATGCAACATATATATTTGAGACACTCTATATTGGGAAAATCATCAAATTCCTGAAAAACTTCACAAGCTTTCAAACAATCTACAACCCTTTACGCATCTGGTATATCAAACAGTAAAACATAAAAATCTTCCTAGTCTGCTTCAGCTGCTTTTCTAGAATAGATAGAGGTATGATCTCATGGTCTGAGCATGAAATAGGAAATTAGATCTAACATAATGCTTTGCCAAACCATACTTTGTACTGGTCAGACAGGCAAATTGTACTGGTCTTTCCCCAGTACAATGGAAATAGATTAGTTTATACTGAATTGATCAAATCTGTTTAATTACAGATTACATGAGACATTTGGCTTCTGAAGAGAAGAGACTGAACTTTAGAGAGCAGTAAAGCACATGTTTAGCTACATGCTAAAGCCAATTGAAATGGCAAATGGCAGAGCTAGTTACTAAGAAACTCACGACTGCAAAGTTTTTATTACTGGATAATTTATCTAGTCTTGTTAGAGAATGGTTTCAGATAAAACCAAAACAAAAGAACACACAGTAATTGTAATAAATAAGTATCTAATCCTCCCTAGGTAAACAGAACTTACACAATTCATAAAATTATGCGTATAATTTTAACACTATACAGATGTAAAACACAGACTACTGACAAAAAAAATTACAGGATGGCCAAGGCCAGTGATTGATCCAAAAAATCCCAAATAAACGAACAAACAAAAACAACTTGTCAGGAACCTTGAAAGATGGAAGACTGAAGTCTGTATATATACTGCTCTAACAGTTTAATTGAATCAAGACATCTAAAGCTGCACAGACAGTAAAATCAGGTAAAGTGCAAAAAAGACATCTGTAAACTATCAAAGAAACTATTACAATTGGCTTTACCTCAGCTTTTTATCAATTTAAATCCTCCAAGTGGGTTTTTTTATAAATTTTAGAATGAAAACTAATATTCAAAGAAACACTTCTCAGTTTTTTTTCAGGCCCCAAGTGACATGAGCTTTTTTTCTTCAAATCAACCATCGAGCATTTATAGTCAATTAAAGGGAGAATGAAAAATTAGCAAATGAACTCCTGAGGGATATTAAGTATATTCTGTCCTCACATATTCAAATGTGTGCTTGCTATGTTTTCTTATGGAAATATCTTCATACAGTCTTCCAAAGCATCTTCATACAGTCTTCCAAAGCAAAATTAATTATGCTTTCTAACAGGCCATTATCGACAAATTCAACCATGAGAGAGAAGAAACAGAACACTGAAATACAGGAACTATAAAACAGTCTGACTAGAAGACTATTTTTTTTAACATTATTTCTTCCCAATCTCATGATTATTTCTTCCCAATCTCATGCTTGCCATGCAATTATCACAATCAACATCACACTGCTTTGAAAAAGTTATTAATACATAAATGTCAAAAAATATCAATTCTTAATGTATTAATTGCCTTCTTCTTGCAAGAGGATGACTACTACTGGTAATTTTTTCAGAAAAGCTTCAACATTGTTTTGCCACATTAGTCCTTTTATCTTCCATCAGCATATACAGTCAACTACTGCTTTGGTCAAAGGTCCAGTGGTATATTTTAATTTTATTTTAAGAGAGAAGGCACAAACTCAGAGAAAAGAGTTGTAAGTCCTGCAGTTTCAAATTCCTTTTGTAGCTCCTCCAGTGCCGAATATTCTTTGACTTCAAACATCTGAAACCTATATTGTAAAAGGGAAACTCATGAATATGCCTGGATTTGTCAGAATGTAATTATCGATTCTGTTACTTTTCTATCCACAACAGTACTAAATTATACCTTTTATGCTGTGACTGTACTTCTGTCTCACACAGTACTCTCATCATTTTCTCTTTGCATTTCTTTCCACTTGAGTCCACATCTACCTTAGAAGTTTTCTGAAGAATCAAGTACTCCTAAATGACAAAAAAAAAAATTCCCAAAATATTAAATGCCACCTATGATTTTCGAAGTTTAGTAAAATGAAAAAGCTCACTCAAAATGTAGTCTTTTTCTTAGAACATAGCAATCAAATTTTGAAAGTACCCATCCCAAAAAGTGCACAACTGCTTCTATTCATCGGTTTTAAATTAAATAGGCCTAACTGATTAAGAGAACTTGAGTTAGAAAAGCCAAAACATTTCCCCCAAACAGTGGAAGTTTTTACATAAGGACAAGAACTGGGCTTTGAGCCCAGGCATGCACTAGGAGCACCATGTGGTTTTAAGTCAAGGAAAGAGAAAGCAATGAGTTAGAAATATATCTGTTATTAATTCCTCACCAAATTTTTTTCGACTTTCTGGGGTATTTGGGAAATACAGGAAACTGAATCTAGGCATATTAAGGTCAGGAAACAAAGGGATATGGGGTTATAAATCCAGTGGGGAGCAAAGCAATACAGGGCACAGGTCTACAGGTATCATTGTAGATGGAATAGAATGCTTTCTTTTTTTTTAAATACAGAATAAAGTTGCTGGGTCTTCCTACTCTCATAATGATCAATTTGCTTCCAAAATTGTTAATCTTAGAAAAACACACACAAAATATTCAGACATGGAGGTTTCAGTGGTAAATCGATAGACCTAGTCAACATTCATTGTTCCTGCACCTTAATGCTGCTCCTATCACCCTGAAGAAGAATCAATATTATCTTGCCCATGAACATCAGTCTTCCAGTCAGCCTTAGATCTGAAGCCCATTTTTCCACAGTTTTCACATATTTTGCCTTTGCTCTCATGTGATCTAAATGCAAAAGGAGCATCCAGATACCATCTTCTTTTCCTTTTGACAAAGTAGTTTTTTCATTGCAAACTGCTGCTGGTTGCTTAATGACATCTTTAAGATGCTGCTGTACCCAAAGAATCAGATCGTGTACCATGGGCTCAGAAAGATGCTTCTTTGCTTGTTCAAGTAATTTCTCTTTCACATCCATACACTGGGCCCTTGTAAGCTGGTCTGAGTTAACAGAAATATCCGGCAGAGCTGATGGGTAATTGACTGGTAAACGAAATAACAGCTTTAAAAGTACATCTGTGTCCAGCAGTTCTTTCACACTGATTTGAATTCTAAATGAGATTCCATGCGTCTCTGGAAAATATTAAAAAAAAAATAAACATTAATAGCTTGCTTGAAGCTGAAATACATATATATCATTAAATCACCTTACTTTAACAATTCAACTCAAATAACTGACATTTCCTATAAAATACGAAAGGATTTTTTTTTTTTTTCCTGCAGGCTGGGGGCTTGCAACCAATGGCTCAAGCTATACCTGCCAGGAATCCTGAAATGAAACATTTCTGTACCATAGTAGAAGGAAAATTAACACATTCTAAAAAGCATTCACATCTTTTGGCTCTTCCAAAGTCTAGACAAGCCAATAATAAAGAATTGTCTCTCTTAAACACATAACTCAGCTTCCAAAGCTCAATAGCAAGGACAACTGAAAATAGAGACTTTTCTGGATAGACTCAGCACTGCCCCAAGTTTTCTCCTAAAGAAATCTCTAAGACTTCTAACATCAATACTAATGTAAGAGAAACAGACTTGCAACAGGTATTTTTTAAGACAATCATTCAAAAGCAGTTTCACACTAAGCACAAACTTGGAAAGAAAGAAGTTAGATTCTTAGTCCCTTACAACTTGCAAAGAAAATACACTTACATCTTTTCTGCCAGCTCCTCTACAACAATTAGACTGACATAAGGAACACATCTCTGTTGGACACCTGACCCTAGATACTACATATATTAATATGCATCTACTCATATTAATGTATGTTTATATATCTTCATATCTGCTCAAAATCTGTTATAGGTCTACTTAAGACCAAAATTATTTTCAGAGTGGAAAGGATACACTCAGTATGCAGCAGGAAAGGCTAAAGACCACATTATCCTGACAAATCATATAACCAAAGATGCTTAATATGTACAGTTACATAGTTATGTACAGTATTTCATGAAATAAAACTTTCTTAACTAGAAGGTTCACAGAAAAACAATACAAAACTTGACAAAGTGAAAAGTACAGACAAAGTCCTAACATACTTTCACTCCTCTGCCATGAAGTAAGAGGGTATCAATCAGACAAAATATGATCTTCTTCAGATATTCTCTGCTTCACCTCTTTGATGCATTCTAAGAACTTCACCCCTTTTCTTTCAAAAATTGCTAAAATGTCAGGTTGAGTCATTCTATGAGGGCAGGAGAAGCCAGATTTGAAAGGCAGATGAGAGGAGAGCTGAGTTTCAGAGCAGGTCTTTTGAAGAGACTTGCACTCTTCCCCCCCACCTTACCTTACCTTCTTTCACATGACAGTCAGATGAATTATGTTTGATTAGTATTGCTGATGCCACTAACCAACCTCTCACAGTGCCTCTCATAAAATATGTATGATTTTATATTTGAAACCTACTAAAACAGTGAAATAACCTGAAAATTTCTTGGACAGACAGAAGTACTTTAGAGAGCTTATCCGAGGGCTTGTTTCCAAACCTCCTTCCTGGGTCATACAAAGAACTCTCAAGGTCAGAGAAGTCACTAAATAAAATCAGAAAATCCTCTAAACCCAATAATCAAATTCTAGCAGTAGTATAAAGAAGTCTCCAAATATCTACAGACCACCACTACCTAAGAGTCAAATGCAGTGGTGAAAGCAGCAGATGAAATTCCAGTGAATTCAACAAAATCACACCCAACCATGTCTGTATGTATAGGCACCACATGTCAAAAGAGTCGTATCCTGCTGAGGAGTTTGTCTTCAATCTTCCAAGACCTTATCAAAGGTTCCAGACTACTTTCAAGACAAATGTATTCCTCAGAAAAACATCAGCCTTGGAAGAGACCCTTGCACAAAGTAGCTACAGAGGACATCAAGCTTTCCCATTCCTAATCCCTGTCTTCTGCTACCCTGCCAAATGTTTTTTCCTGGGTCCCAGCAGCAGCAGCTCCTCTGCCATTACACCGGGCTGAGCACACAATAAGAGACACAGGCAGAAAACCTGTCCTGCGTGTCCTGGGGCCCCCAGCACCCTCCTGGCCACCACGGAGGTGTCTGCACACACAGCCATTGCACCAGACACAGCTGCTGCCCCATGTCCCTCTCAGGGCAGCCCCACCAGGTACACAGCCAGCTGGCATCTGGCTGAATGGGGTGAGCATTATTGTACTCCTGCCCATGAATCACTTTGTTTTAAACTATGTTGCCCAAGAGACTTTAAAATGCACAACCTATATAAACTGAAAAATACTTCTCTATCACCAGCTTAATTACAGGGACAGAAAAACATGTTACCTTTCTGATAATCCTCCTAGGATTTTTTCACTAGCTTGTTACAACAGATCTCACCAACTCAGAAGTAACAGAGGCATAGAGACAGGCCAACCCGTGCCCATGCAACAAGGGCCTCCTGTTGCAGTAATCTTATTCTTAAACCTGAAAAAATCTCACACCTTTCCCTGTGATGAACTAATCTGAAGGAAACAGAACAGCCTCGTATCCCAAGGTGTATCACCCTGAGCCATCGGGAAAACCCCAGCCGTGCTCATTTACATCTGCTTCAGACTTACTATTAAAAAGAATCAGTTCATAACGTTTGCAGGGCTACAGCATCTGAAGTTTATTTAAACCTTGCAGCATCCATTTTCTGCACCAGTGCTGCAGACACTGGCAGAACAAAGAGCAAACCACCGGCGCCCTGCGCAACCTGGCTCCAAAGAAATATTTCCTTTGTTTGCACATGCTACAAGGGCCGAGTTGTCTTCACAGCAACATGGTGATTATTTCTGAAATAAAAGGTTGGGTATGACTGTTCTGCTGGCATTTAATGTGCTAATCAGACTAAACTCAATACATTTTAACTCATTTTCCCCCATAGCTGCATGCTTATCAGTATATTTAGCTCTAGCATACTTCAGATTTTTTCTTATGTTCCATGTCAACCAGACAGATATCCCCCTCCTCTCCTGCCCAAAGGCATTTTATGCAACACATGCAGTCTATTTTTAAATTCAGAAAATGGCACCTACTAACGTACAAGCTTAGAATATCTAAATATATTTTTATAGCAAGCTTGGTGAACAGACCAAAAGAAAGCAGATTAACAATTAAATTACGGATTTCTATCTGTAACACTAATCTTTGCAAATAGATATGTAAGGTAAAAAAGATATGCTGTAATTAGTTTATTTAAATTCATCCACACATCGGTTTTGATAAAAACACATTTTACATGCTGAATGCTTCATTGTTAAATTCCAAAAAGCCAAAGCTTTTACCATACCAAGAGACCTGTAAAAGCGTTCTTACATTCCTCAAAACCATGAATCCCCAATGGCCTCCTTTTTGATCCCATGGATCTACACACAAATTACTCTTAATGTCTTAAGAGATTGCATAACACAACAGTTTTCCTGGAAGTTATGTCTGTGCACCCTTTGTCAATGACAATTTACATGGTTTGAAGAGATAAAGCAAATATAAGCTGTAACTGGAGCAAAAGTTAATTGCATACTGACTACAGATTCTGCAGCTCCAACAAAGTAAATTCCAAGAGTAAGAAAAATACCAGTAATCATTGTTGCAAAATAATCTTTTCAGTTCCAGCAGAAAACTATAGAAACCAATTAAATATACCGGATCATACCACATCATGAACACAGCCTGGTTAAAGGCCCCCCAAGATCACAAAACATCAATATAAATAAAATAGCCTACTCCCATTGTGCACTTGTGGCACCTCACTTTATCTCCAGGAAGGTTTTTACACCTTATAGATTTTGATAACTTCTAAACACAAGATCATTTTCCATATATGAAGCACAGAGAAGAATGTGCCTATATTTCTCAACAGATTTGGAGGAACAGACGCATATATGCAATGTTCAGATATATTCACGTTTTTTAAAATTAACATCTGATAAGCCTGGATATTGCTTTTTCAAACTACACCCAAAATAACATTCTTGAAATTTTTCACTTAAAAATAAAGCTCAGTTGAAACATTTCATCAATCATGCTTTAAAAATACAACCCTAAATACCAATTTAAAAAAATAAAATGGCAGAATTACATGCCTTCACTGGAGCAGAAGCTGTCTCATGCGTATCTAGATACAAAATTCTGGTTTTAGATTACTGTGGTTAATTGTGCTCCCTGCAGACACTAATGCCTTCATCCAACCTCTCCCCTCAAGCACAGTCACTTACAATAGGACAACTGCCCAGGACAATATCCAGATATTCTGAGTATCTTGAGGAAGACTCCACAAGCTCTCCTGGCAGCCTCCACCATGCAGCCATCCTCACAGTAAAAAGTTTCCTTATCAATCCCAGTTCTTTAGGGCTGAACACAGACACGTGCAGACAGAATCTGACAGCAGGCCACCACATCCATCTTTAGCAGCATTCCCCAGAACTTCACTGCAGTCCAACAGCAGGAAGCTGCTCCCTGTCCACCACTCTGCTGGGGCGCTGGGCAGAACTCTTCAATAGCTCACAGACACTGCGCACTTGTGGAACACAATACAGGCACACTGTGTGTAAATGTGCATGTGTATCTCTCTCCAACAAATATCTTAGTTGTCATATCTGTGGTAGGCACTAAGCAAGATTTACTAGTGGTTTGGATCTGAACAGACACCAGCACTTGCATATCCTACCTGACATTTAAGCCTGACAGAGCTTCTACTGCACACTGGAACTACTGAGACTTATTCTCCCTTGCTGAAGGCACTTCTTCACAGTACCGTACAGCACAGACTGATAAAAGCCATCTCTTAGTACTATGTTCTGATCAGTGGCCACCACGGCCGGTGCAGAAGCCATGAAGACATCTACACTCCCTGCACTCCCTGCCTACAGCATCCAGCAGATGATGGGATAAGTACTACAAACCTGATCATTCCACCCACGGCAAACACGACACACCAGCCTCAGTATCCTGTAAAACCTACAGCCGTACACATCTCGTGAAGCCGGAGAACATCTGGCATGTCACGGTTCCCAGGGTGTCAGCTTACCCCAGAAAAATACAGATGTGACCTCTTCTCATGCACTGCAAGAGCCGTACCCCTATTCAGTATTACCGGATAAACACCTGGTCTTGTTAACGCCTACAAGATTCACCTGCTTGTTTACCCAGAGAGCAGCCAGGCCGTTGTTCCCAGCGCTGCCCCTCGCTCGCCCCCAGGGCACTGCGGGACCCTAGCCATAACCGAGCGGGGCCCGNGAGCCCCCGCCGTGTCCCCGTGCTCGGCCCCGGCCCGAGGAGCCCGCGCTGTGGCCCAGGGTGTGGAGCACCGTTCGATGATGTGACACGCAGGGAGGAAGAGCCGGCTCGGCCGCGGGCTGTACACGACCCGGGTCGCAGCCGCACACACCCCTGCTCGAAGAGTTACTAGAGTATAAAATAATGTTTCTCATAATTAACTGCTGTGGCTTCGCAATCCCTATTACCAGCCCTCAGACCGAGTCTGTGCACTGGCCACAGTACCACAATGATGCCCAAAAGATAGGCTGGAAATAAATTCCCATAGACCGGTGTCTATAGAGCAGGTATGTGTTTATTGCAGATTGGAGGTGAGGGGGATATTTCCACCTAACTCAACCACCTTTGTCAAGTGCTGTGACAGTATAGTAAGTACAGTAAATATTGCGTAGTATCACTATGTGATGACACCACACGCCTGAACTAATTCACATAGTATGATCTCATGGTTATTTGATAGTTATTTTGCACTGCATTTGCATCTCCCCAATTCGGGGGTCGTGGGGGTCTTTGATGAAGGCTTCTAAGATCTTCACATCTGAACTTTCCAACTTTGTCTTCAGAGCACGCGCAGTTACAGTGTTCCTTGGTCTGTCTGCTCTTAACTGGCCTAAATTCTTTGTTTTGTGGCTCACTGGCTCTGCACTTGCCAATTTTTCATTAGCACTATACTTATCTACCTCTAAATTTATTCACCTGGCAAGTTTTTTCTTCTTTTTTGTCTATCCAGCATTAAGCAACTAGTGTTAGCAATACACTAGCCATTACATTGTATAAAAAGTTATTTCTATCAGGTTATATAGGCATAAAAAGATATTATTTGGGTTATATAGGTATCAGGTTATATAGATATATAAAAAGTTATGATTTAGGTTATAGTGATATCAGGTTATATAGATACATCAGGTTATACTGATAATCTTTTAACTCAAGCTATATAAGCACCTTGAAACTTTGATAGAAGTCGTTCAGGCATCAATTAACTCCCAGGTAAAATAATCCAGTATCTTCTATTATTACAAAATCCCTTTTAAAAGCAAGGGCTGGGGGTGGTTACTTTTCAGGAGAGTATATCCTGCTATTTCTAACCCCCTAACTTGTGTTGGAATAACAAGAACTATGAGGTGGCTGAGCAGGGGAGGAGGAAGATGCTGGGAGGGAGCAGCACAGCCAGGCTGCTGTCAGAATGAAGGCTGTGGTGGAAATTAGCCTTTGAAGTGCCTCCATTCTATTATTAAGAACTTCCTTGCCCCGGTCTTCCCCCCTTCTCCTCTGCCACTTTGCATATTCCATTTTACATGTTTAAATAAAAAAGTCGATGTAAATGTCTTTTGAATTGACACTATCACAAGACATGGAGGTCTCTATGAATAAGTTACTGCACTCTGACATTTGGAAGTCATCAAATGAGACAGTATAATGTCAGCTTGATATTTTTCACTCTATGAAAATATCAGCTTCATGTCAAAGATCTAAATTCCATCTTAATGTAATAAATTTTTGTGTATTCACAGACAACTGAAAATGCTAAATATTTAAATTTGAAATGAACATCTACAGTTACAATCTGGCCTTCACATTGCATTATTATGAAATTGTAAGTCAAGATCTTATTTCCCCTCTTTATTTCTTCAAGCACTGAAGTGTTTGATAGAATTTTAGCCATATTTTTTAAATGGAAACTTCCCCATCAACATGTGGCAAATAAAGTTAAAAAAGAAAAGTCTTGCTTTTTCAGCCTATATTAAACCAGCTCCTATATTAAACATCCTGTCACAAAATGACTGTGCCACAAGTGTCTTCCACTTTGCCTGACAAGGCAAACAGAATGCAACCTTTCATACATAGGTTAGATTAATCTTCCAAGTGTTATTTGCAAAAGCAGTATCCTTTGCCTTCCACACACTATATAATTACAGCCTCAATTAGGTGTTGTTTCAACAACCACTAGTGAATATATATAAAATGGTGCATTTAGACTGTTTTTTCCCTAACCTGAGTGGCAAATCAGAGGAGGAGTAGACAGACATTTGGAAAAAAGTAAATTTGGAACATCCATCTGTATCTTTTTACCATCAATTCCATTTGCCACCTCCTCAGTCGTAACTGCAGGCGGTGCTAAAAGCACATCCTCCAGAAGGCATTAAAGGACCACTAGGAAGTCTAGAAGTCACTGCAGTTGCCAATTTGAGGTTCACAAGACCAACACTAATGAAGAACTCATAACCACAGCGAAGGTGACAGCTGACCAGCGCAACACAAACCAGCTTTTTATCACTGCTGCAGGACAGCTGCAGTGCCCACACTTTCTGATACAAGAGTGCTGCCAGCTCTAATGCAGCCAGAATGGCATTCTTACCAGTCACAACTGTCCTTACCTGAATTAAATAGCACCACTTTTTCAGAGACCTGAGAAAGAAGCTACCATTTCTCTAATAACAATTGTAAGTGGTACTGCAATGGTAGAAGTCTTACCCAAAGTGGCTTATACAAAAATAGAAGGGAGAAACCAACAGGAAACCTGTAAAAATCTCTCCAATAATAAACTAAGAGGCAAAAGCTTGAAGAAAACAGAAAGAGAAGCAACCCCAATAATTGAAAATATATGATAAAACATGGAAGTATTTCCCCCCCAGTATTCTTGCGTACAGCTAGTAGAAAAGTTTTCTTTTTTCTTTATTTTTCCTGTGTTTTTTTTACAGTAAACAAACAATTTACATTGCAAATTAAAGCTGCCAAAAGTTGCATGGTTTGCTGTAAGATTAAATTCAGAATTTTTATGAGGTTTTGTTTTTCAGTTCTTGAAAATGAGGTAAAAAATTCTCATTGATATATAAAAAAAGATTTTTAATTCGAGGGAAAAACAAAACAGAGGAAAAACCTTTTCTATTTCTTTTCCTTGTAAGTATTTTAGAAGCAAGTTTTTCAAGGATTTGTGATCTAGCAGTGCTTTTTAAAGGCACTTGCATTTATTCTCCATGCATCAAACTGCTCGAAGTCAATTCCCTGAGACACTTAATCTTTTGGCAGATGGAAACTCATTTTGAAAGTGAACTAATGATCAATTAAAGCATTAGCTATTTCTGCAGACAGGAGGTTTATGGGGTCATAGTCTTCAGAAGCTGGAGTCAAGAACAGCAGCATGTTTAGCAAAATAGCTAAAACTTTCTGTAGTTACCAAAAAAAATTGGCAAAACATTGGAAAACAAAAAATATTAGTCTTTTTTTTTTTCCATAATACATAGAAAACAAATGTGATGGCCTCTATTTTATGAGAGAAGCCATGGTCCAAACTGAACATCAGCAAAAGAAATAATCTAATCTTTTAAATTTTCTTAATGCAGCCTAATAATTTTCTTAATACTTCCAATAAACTTACATAATCCTTTGAAAATGGGATTCATTCTGACTCCAGTCAAAAATATATACCCTCACTGCAAATATGCAGACCTGTCTTGTGGGGAGCTGCCAATGGAATCTGCGGCTCCCTGGCCATAACACGTCATTTCACACATGCTCAAGGCCCCACGATAAGGTCTGGAGTCAAGTACTCTGCCCAGATGTTCTTGTGTAATGTGACATACAAGTAGCAACACCAAATAGATGTAATTGTCACATTCATAAAAGAATCCAAGATTCTTCTCTTAGGAGTTTGACAAGCCATTTTTTCTTCAAAGAGAAGCACATAAAAGTGATTAGCCATCTAATGCAAACTAAAAAGGTTGCTTTTTATGACCTGTCATGTCTACTATGACCATAGATTCCTAATACTAACAGTGATGAGAGAATCAATACTTACTGTCATGTCTACTATGACCATAGATTCCTAATACTAACAGTGATGAGAGAATCAATACTTACTTGATTCACTGCATAAAAATCTTCACATGCAATTTACCTTGTACAAAGGTAGAATAATAAATAGAATATATTTTCTTTCAGTGAGAGTAAAAATGCAGGAAGTTGCCTAAACATTTGTAAAAAGCTAGCCATTCTATGCATTTTAATCAGCATGCCATATCATTTAGTAAGTGTTGGGAAGAGACATCTTTAAAAAGATGGTTTTGAAAGAGGCATTTCTACCCTCTATAAAAAACAAACTTTGGTAAAAGTCCAAATACTAGGCAGTGGTTCTTAGTCTGCCAGTTCATTTTTAGCTGCAGAGCTACAGCAATGTATCTGCCTTTACCTTCTGCAATTAGCACATTAGCTACTCTTTCCCCACACTTTGATACGAGTGGAACAATGGGAGTGCAGAGGATGACAGACTATTTATGACCATTTTCAGAGCACTGAGAGGTCCTTTGCCACTCTCACACCTTTTGAAAGCAGAACTGTATTCATCAGTGCCTTTGAGACTTCAAATTTACAGAGCACATTAAAGTCTTGATGGTAAATAAATTATGTAAACACTAGACAGAATTTCACACTAAACTAGCATGCCTCTTTCACCTCATCATTCAAAAGTGGTAATCCAGAACACTTTGCTTTGGCAGTAGAAAGTAGCAATAATAAGAATGGACACAACTATCTTCTTACAGCAACACAGTCTCTTTTACAGCAAAGCAGGGCAGAAATTTTAAGGCTTAGCTGAAAAATTATTAGAGGGATTGAAGCTAGGACCACGAACATAGTATGAAAGGAAAGAGCAAAGGTGTTTCTAGGGAACAGGGGAAAAAAAACCCCAAAAGCGACAGAAGAGCTACAGCTCCCCGTTCCAAATTGCCTGCAAGCGCAAATTGTTACAGGATAACTGAAGAGCCAGGAACTCCAGGCATTCCAGAAAGATCAGCCTCTGAATTACCCCCAATTACAGGAGCACTCGTGTTGGCCAGATACTAATAGCACAAACTGCAGAAGAGCAGAGTTGGTCCCTTGTGACTGAGCAGGGAAGGCGTTGGAGGCAGAGCAGCCGGTCAGGTGCCCCTGCAGAGCGGCAGCAGTGCCAGGCACCCCAGTGCAGGGGAGCCACCACAGCCAGGACCCACACCTGAACGGCTTCCTGCTCCAGGAAATAAAGGTCAGAGCCACTCCTGACTGCATGTGCATCACCCAAGGCCTGATTACAGCTGGGAATGCTATGCTAGAACCCTTTTCCACCAGTCTCAGAATGCAGTTTCTGGGCACTGCAACATCCTTAAGAACACATCTTCAGACCAGGAGGGCACCCCTAGCTGTTTTCGTCCACAAGAGTCAAACACAATAGATCAAACAGGGCTTTGATACAATAAAGCAGAACACAGGTGAACTTTAAGTGTCTAAATACAGAACTAATTATAGAAGCAACTTTTCTTTATTGCGTGCCTGCATTTTCCCTTTGGAATGTGCACAATGTTAACCTTAATTTGAGATGTTTGGTTCTAAAATTCTGCTTCAGCCTGACCAGGATTTTGAACCTGATGTCACTGCAGAATTCCCTGAAAGAGCTTCCTCAGGATACTTCTTCACTTTCTTGGGCTCCATGAACACTCCGTGCCTTCTTATACTTACAAAGAAAAAGATATAAAAGTATTTATTTATGCATATAGAAACATTTAATATAGCCTGAACAATAGTTTTTCAGTTAAAACATCCTTCCTAAGGACTAAAAAATACCCCATTAAAATCACCATTTTTCAAAATTACATTGGAATTATAATAATTTTAATTCTAACATCTATGCATCATGCATCAAGAAACCCAAGCCTAAAGAAGAAAACTCCATTTACTTCCTTAAGTTTTACTGCCTGTAGAAATTAATTATTTTCATTTTTTCTTCTAAGATTTTTTTTTTTATTTCATTTTCTTGTATTCCTCTCAAGCTAGCCAGACTCAGGATGAATTTATTTATTGTCATATGCTCTTATTCTGAGAACTGCTGTTTCAGTTAGCAAACACTTGAACTTAGTCCTTGGATTTTGGTTCCATATTCACCTGAAAAATGAGTGTGTATATATTCAAAGATGTGATGAGAGTTAAGTTGTAGTAATTCATAATAATACATAGTAACAATATGAAATATATACTCTACATCATGGTTTCAGTTGTAATAGACTAGAATCTCATATGACACATGCAAAAGCTATTTTAATAATTCTTACAGCTAAAAGCATGATCACCAAATACCAAAGTTAAGAAAAGTATATTTATTTGATTCTCCTTTTAGTTTGATGACAAAGTAGTACATATCATCAACAGTAGCACAGAAAAGAACAATTTTGAATCTATGGAAGATGGAAGGTAACAGGAGATAGTAAACACATGAAGTGGCTTGTGACAGTTTCCTCAGATTTAGCAGCGATTACAATTTCCATGCTCTCAACATCACACTGCTGAAATCAACAAAGCAAACTGATGCTTTTGAAGCTTCTACTCCCTACAGTGGTGTAGCCTTTCCATATTTTGTTACAAGAAATACAGAATCCTCATTGTAGCAAGTTGTCAAATGCCTAAACCAACAACTACAAAAAAATCCCAAACAAAAACAACCTACCACTCTAAAATAGTACTCCTCAATCTTTACTGTTAGAAGAGAGAAGTTTCTTCATGAGTCAGATATGCTTTATACAAATTCACTTTTCAGTTATCTCCTCCACACATTGCCTGTTTAGATGAAACCTTTTTCTTCCCTGTTTATCATGTATTTATCATATATATATGTCTGAATCACAGAAAAGGTGAAAATGGAATGAGAAAGCAGGTATTGGTAAGAGCATGGTTTTCCTCATAGCATTCTGGATAATATTTATTCCTACCATGCACAAGTTGTCTCTGAAGTGGGAACTATTCGTGATCATTAGAATTCTAAAGAAGGAAAGCTCCCCTATTTTTTCCCTAAATGGGAAATGATTTTCCTGAAACATTAAGAGGGGCTTCACATCAAGGAGGAAAAAAAAAAAAAAAAAAGGAAAGGAAAGTGAAAAGGGTTCCAATGTCAGTTGAACATAGGCCACTTTCAGAAAATGAAATGTACAGCTAGTTTCCTGTTAAGGTTGGGGAGTTTCAAGAAGGCAGCTTCCCCATTTGAGAAGCTACAATGTGCTGTTCTCTAACTCCTTTCCCAAGTGTTTTGCACAGCACCTGAAACTTACTGAGTCGTGCAAACTTAAAGCTATTACAGTGGAAGACTTAAATTAGTTTCCCTTACTAAGCACAAACAATAATCAATTCTTTCCACCATGTGTCGCTCTTAGAAAACACTCCAATCAACCTTCTCCCTTGGCACTTTTGATACATTTTTTAGCCCTGTTATGTACACACCTGTAATACAACTCACTGTACTCACAAGTGTGACTGTGTAGTCACACCTTCTTGTGCAATTCCTTATTATATAAAAAAAACATGCTGTAATAAATATTGATGCAGCCAGGATGCCAAACACAGGTGCACTGCAGGAGGTTCTTTAAATAAGGCTTAGTTCTGTCCTGAATTCATTACATGATACATATTATGGACATGAAAATACTAAAATAATCCATTTTCTTACATCAGAAAACCACCTTTTAAATATTCAAATAAATAGCCATTAAATATCAATTTTATGTCCCTTTAGAAATGCTGTTTTAGAAGTAATACTCACTACCTGCTTCTAAAAGATGTTCTTCTGTTCAAGAAAAATTGCAGATTAAGGCATGAGTATATTCTCCTTTTCTACACAACATACCTTCAAAATACTCATAGCAAGCTACACCTCCCTTAACTGATTAACTGAAGTTTTCTGAGGATGTATTTGAATAGGTAAAATGTCCGTGTGAAAACAAATATATGTTTTTACAGTGTAAATAAAACGTGTAACTTGAAAGAGTCCAGATCTTTTACCCCTTATTCATATGTGAAATAACTTATGAAATTTCCAGTTTTCACTAATCAAGTAATACTCAAAACTTCAGTCAGAATCAGAATTTTAATGTATTTGGAGCAGCACTGAAGTCATGAAATGAAAAGAAGGCGAACTTATGCAGAATCTGAGATGAAGTAAGAAAGGCTTCCCAGTTCTTAAGAAAATTAAGATACATGTTTTTGCCACTGTAACTTTATTATTCCATTTGAAACACCACAAAGCACTGGTGTACTCAATGACAGATTTGCCTGTCCTCCCTTCCCACCCCCAAAGAACAGTGGTGATGATGAAAGCAATGACAGCTGCAGCAAACTTCTATCTCAAGTCCTGATATTCACATGTCCATTGTATAGGAGGAAAGTGGTTACTTTTCGAGTACACACCACAGGAGCAGTTAGGAAGTCCAGCGCCACCAGGCCACCTTCACTCTGTCCCAGACGGCTGAGAGCGAGTCCAGCGCAGGGCGCACGTCCAGGATGGTGAACTGGTAGTTCTTGTCCACTGCTCCGCCGTCGTAGTAATCGATAACGTAGCGCACCTCCTTCCCACAGCGGTCAACTATCCAGTCATGCCGATCAAAGGGTAGCTCATACCTGGAAAGGCCAGGGAACAGGCCATGGAGATATTTTAATGGACATTATGAACCTGGGAGAGGGAGTGGAAGTCCAATTCAAGATTCATTTGTCTGTAAGATCCTAACAGTACTTCTATCTTCTGGCAATTCTAACTTGCAGTACCTGTTTTGAAACATCTTTACATTAATTCTACACCATGTTTCCAGGCACATTTCTCTAGCCTCCCATCTCACTGCAAGACCTTCCCTGCCCACCTACCCCATCCATGAACGTATTCTGGCTCTTGGTGAGTACTCCTTTGCTTTGCCTCCAAACCGCATCAGTGACGGCCCACATGGGCATTCCCTGTGCACACAATTAAAAAGGAAAACAGTTTTTACCTTTTAACACAGTCATATTTTCAGTGATTAAACCACTATGGTAATTTATCTTAGCAACAGAGAAACTGAGTAGAAGAAAGCAACAGTAAAAATTAATTACAAGTGACATAAACCAACTTCTTTCCTTTCTTTAAAGCTTTGAAAAGTGACCCAGTTTCTGCCAGCACTTACTGCTGATATGATAAAGTATCTCTGATATGCTCCACACCACTGTTCTGTCAAGAAAGCAGTTCTCTGCAAATCTAATCCACACATTTAATAGATTAAAGAACAGAAAACCATAATCCAAACCACTGTGTAAAAACGATCATGGAATTTCAGTGAAAATTTTATAGTACTGAATGTTTAACTAGTCTGTGTCTTGTAGGAACAGGGTCTATGCTGACCTAAAAATTAAGAATTTGCTTTACACCAGTCATGCTAAGTTTACAACTCCAACCTTGTCATAACAAATATTCCCATATGCAACATTTCATAAGTACATACATAGCATGTAGAGCTTCCCACTTCAAAATCTCCTTCCAAGCTTGCTCATTATTTTGATTATGAATCTTAATAATGTTGGTCATGTCTTCACTTGTTATGTCATCATCTTTCCACCTCCACCTAAAAAACAAGAACTTGAGAACAGTTTATAAACATTACAGCATAACTATTCCATCTTCCTAGGTTTATCTGATGAACTTTTGAATTGAGATTTAAGGTTGTATGCAAGACACAAGACAAGTATGAAAGCTTCTGCTTCATCTGCTTAAGCATCTTGAGAACCACTTCATTTTCTGTGCAGAAGTGTGGGTGTCCAACTTATCATCACAGAGATCCACAAAGTCTACATAGCTAAATTAACAGCTTAACTGGATCAGAAAGTTATCAAGCGTATGCAAACATCACCACACCCACAGTATTCATAAAAATGCTTAGGAAAAATCCCACTTGCATTCCTAATGCACAGAAATCCTGTATTCAACACATTTTGCAAACACTTAGAAATACTTTTCATCTCTCTTGACACTGCACTTTGACTGCATTTGTGCTTCCTTTTCAACTGGTGTAACATTAACACATTAAACGACCAAAACTTGAATGTTCCATACAAGCTGCTTATCTCATACTGTGTTATGAACCATATTGACATGTAGGAAAAAGAATTACTATTGCTCCAAAAGTAAACCCCTGTAAAGTTCACCTGTTAGAGAATGACAAACAAATCATTACAAAAGAACAAGGAAACATCAGCACAGGAGGATTTTTAGTCTTGCCTACACTAAATTTTTGTAAATACCAAAAATATCTACTTAAAAATTTCCCCATTTCTAGCAATTCTGCAAAGTTAGATGTTCTTAGAACATCACAGAACTTCTACTGTCATTTTACAGCATTACCATGAAACCAACTGATTTTGAAAGTTGGCAATCAAGCAAACTTTGTCTACACCTGCATGGCCTTTAAGGAAAATTTTCTGAGCCAGGAGTAGTTGCTTGACATTTTTTACCATCCTCCTGATCACTAGAAGACACATGGCCTTTGAAACCAACTCACCCTTTAAAATAAAGATGTTTACAAAAATAGTACTTTTTTAAAAGAGCTACTTTATTATTTACTGGTTAAAATCTACAAACTCTTAAAAAAAAAAAAATTAATGATACTAGTTCATGAATTCCAGGCTCACAGACACATCTGATAATTCACAGTGTATTTACCCTTTTCTTAGCATAGCATTCCAGAACATTTGCTCTGAAGGGTAGACCCATTTCTTGTCAGAATGTGCTCTAGGAATGGAAGATTCTTCTCTCACAGTTGATAATGGAAATGGTTGACCTGGGGATGGCTGCTGATTGGGAGGAGGCATCTAGAGAACAAGGAGAACCAACAACAAACTAGAGTATTTGCATTTTTTTACGTTACGGTGTTTGAGAAAAATCAAAGCATAGTCAATCAACTCCTACAAAGATCAAGAAGTTCAGCCTTTAAGTCCACCAAAAATTTTCTTTTTCTGCAGCAGAACTCTTTTCACAAGTTTGTCATTAGAGGACTACAGGAAAGCTTTCTGCCTAAACTTCAATTTTCAAAAGAGCAATGCTTTTTGTAAATCAGAGGAAATCTTGGAGATGCTAATTATGCTATTATGCAAAAACTAAAATCCACCAATGTATCATAAAAAACCATTTATGCAACTAGTTAACAGAGAGCAAAAGATACTTAAAAACAGGAAAATCACCAGAAATTTAAATTTTAACACAATATTAAATAAGATGTAACTTGTTTTTAAATAAAAATTTGCACAAAAAGATGAAAGGCAGTCTCAAAAATAATAATAAAAAAAAGTTATTTCCCAGTTTCTAGCTTACATAGTACCACTATTTACATTTTTGGGTATAGTACTTCAGAAGAAACAAGACTAAAGAAAACACATGAAGTAAGCAAAAGTTACCATATTGCTGGGATCTATGTCATCTTTCATTTGAGATGCACCAGACTTCACAGGACATGCTACAAACTCATAAGCTCTTTCTTGATGTGCAGGAACATCATCTGTGTTCTCAGTTCTATGATCAGCAGTCTTCATGTGCATTGGACAACCTTAAAACACAACAGTAGTATACATTTTACTACAAGATAAAAACTCTAATACATGAAATGGAAAAGATTCATGTAAATGCAAATGGGTATTTCACTCTTCTGAGTTTTTCAACAGTTTTAACTGCTCTCTTTCCTGCACTTTAGGACACAAAATAATGATAAGATCTGAGTTTCCTGTGTAGTCTTTGAATGCTCATTTCCTACCCCTATGCTGGTCCCAATACTGAACTGTTTGCACTTAAGATTTCCTCAGGAAAGCTAACCCAGTGCACTGACTGATCGAAAGAAGAGCTGATGTTCTTCTCCAGGCATTCATCTCATTCCACCCTTCTGCTGCCCTTTTCCAGATGAGACAAGCAGGCAACCAGTCACCATCTCTGTAGGGGCTCTCTGACTTTCTGTGTACCACATCACAGAACAGATTTGTAGGGCCCCAGTGAAACCGGACTACTGGGAGTGACCCACAGGTTCTACAGCAAGCACCTCCTGTCTCTATAAACAAAGCAGCTTGCACAGTGTTCTGGAGAACTGACTCCTCCTAAGGAAAATTTATTGGAGAATTACTTTTGTTAAGCAAAAACCTCAACTTTATTTGAAGAATTCCTCCTTCCCACCCCAAAATTTTTATGACTGGTTTCCATGTTGAATTTATCTCATTTAGGTTTCAAGAGTGATTACCGCTCATTTTTTCCTGATGCATGGGACATTCTGAAGGTGGAGACGCCGTCTGATACTGCCTGGATGCAGTTGGTGGCTGCTCTGCAGCAGCCGGGGAGGATGCAGACAAACCCATGGCCTCTGCACACCGGGGCCCTTTAACATCAAACTTCTAAAGAAAAAACAAAGCAAACATTCGTAACACAAAACTATACCGGTTATTTATTAAGGTGAACGCCAAGTGCAGGTGCAGTGATGCATCCCCAATTAAAAAATTAATTGAAAAATCGATGTAAGTAACAAGCTTCCAGTCCAAACAAAAACCCAAGCCCCTACCAGAGCTACCCTGAGCTCCTCCCCGGCCGCGCCTCAGGGTCAGTGGCGGGGGCTGTGCCCGCACGCGGTGAAGGGCAGCGGCTCCCGCCGGAGCGCCGCGGCCCGGCCGTGACCGACCCGCAAGGTCAGGGCAGG